CTTCTATTGAAAAGCACAGAGTCATCTTCGTTTCTACAGTTTATCGCAACTTGGATCCGAATACGAGAGATCTACTCTCCCAGGACTAGGAAGAGTCTTGTGATTGGACAAGACAAATGAACATTGAAAATGCCAATCGGAAACTCTTTTCAATAGAAAATTATAACAGAAATAACAGTCAAAAGGGAATTCTTAATAGAGGTAACCATTGGAATAGAAAATATGAAACGATAAGGAGATCTCACCATCCTTTCTCTATTTCCAAGCTCACAGCTCAACTGTGATGCAACCAGACAATCTCACATACTCACGCAAATCAGAAACGAGAGGAAACAAAAGAAAGCAACAATTAACAAACAGTTATCAAAGCGAACTAGGGTAATCAGGATAGGAAGTATAAGACATCCTAATAGGGTATGATGAAAGACAATCAATAACAGTGTAAGTTGTCTGTAGGACTCAATCGGGTTCCAATTGTTGATCAATAACTGACACAGACAGTTATCTGAACCCTCAAACCAAACTACAAACAATTATTTGTTGTCGAGGTTTTTCAATGAAGTTGTAGTCCTTGATTGTGAACAGACAGTCTGATCGATACTGTTATAACGTAACCAGCATATTAAACTCCAAAAAGAACAGCACATCGGTATGAACATAGTGCATTTCCAAAGCAATTATCTCTAGTCTGGTTCTCCGGTGTGGACATGTGTTTCGAGCTAAATATAAAGAGTTTCATGCTGTCATAGATGGACTGACGTCAGCAGTCATCTGGACATCTATTTATGGATATGACAACTCATGTGTGCAAGAACGCAAAAAAAAGGTTTATTATGATATAAAAAGATATGAGGAATTAAAAAGAGTATATGGTCAAGTGCGTACATTGGTCTTTAGAAGTTAGAAGGGGGAGGGGTGGGGTGAAGGAGGCTTACAGCATTGGGAGATAAGCATGATGGTTATACCCATACATAAAGGTTTCTTTGAATTCTATATTTCAGTTATCGACGAATCATCATCAATGAGGCGGACGTCATCAAAAGCGGAAAGACTGCAATAGAAATGAAGTTAGAACATCAACAAGCTGTGACTCTTCATTACCTATGAGGAAGATTTCCATTCATAAGCTTACCGTTCATACGACAAACGGAACCATTCACTTTCAGCTCCGGAGAAGTTGATGACAGATCCGCTGAGATCTCAGGGTAATTTAAAATAAGATTTTCCAAGTTATTAGCCTTAAGAGCTTAGCTGATGAAGAAGTAAAGATGCTTTTCAAACCTGATCAGGAGCTGCTTGGATGAGAGTTTCGATGGAAGCACGTCGAGCTGCTATATCTATGGGGGGTGTCAATTCGACGGCTTCAAGCAATATACTGAAATGGATTCAAACTGTCACTAACTATAAGGGGTGAAGAGAACGAACTCTAGATTATTCCGATCTGTTGACAGTGGACTTCTCATGGGGGAACTCCAAGAGGAGTCTTCAGTATCGGATGAATCTGATATAGCGTCTTCTTTGATTCCAGCTGGGTTGGACGGTCTTCTCAGCATCGGACTAGCCATCTCTTTCTTTTGTAACTCTCGACTGTTCTTTATAAGTAATGAATCTGTAGCTTTGAGCAGCCGTCGGGAATCAGAGGAGTTTCTTCGAGATGATGATTGCCTGAAGAAAATTGTCTAAATTATTCCGAGGATTATAAAGCAAGAACCGTTCAATGCTCTCTTCTCGAGCAGAAGTGACGTTTGGCAAGTCTACTAATGGAATCAGTTTCTTCTCCTCTAGCTTGTGTCCATTTTCTAAAACAGCATTGGCCGATTGGTAAGGAGGTGGCTCATCCCTCAGATCGAAACTCTATAAAATGAAAAACGTTCAGTAATGTTTTAGACAAGGGTATGTACTCTTTCGACTCCTTCGGGTACTGCATAGTTCCAACCAGCGGATATCACAGTGTGCACAGCAGTATACGGAGGAGCTATAAGTGATTACGTCTTCTGGAGTTTCAAAGAGAATAGAACTCACGGGTATTAGGAGGTAAAGGAGGAGTAGGTGGTCGAGAATCAACTTCAATAGTCAAAGGAAGTCTTTCATGAACTTCATGATAACCAGCTAGATACGAAAGCAAGTCATCAACATCATCTTTCTCCACAATGAACTCCAGACCCTACAAAGCAAAGTTAAACATGAAAGCTGAACTGTTGACACCTGTTGAACGTTATTGGCAAGTCGAATACTTATAAGAGAAGTGACTTCTGATTCATCGCGAACAACTAGCTTGCCAATCAGATCAAAGCCAATTGAGATAGCTGGTTGTCCACTTTTACCGGGATGACGTACAAGTAATCCATTTTTGGGATCAATCTATAAATGGAGCAAACTATAAATCGTTGTTGACATGTGCAAACCTGCATGATCATTTCAATTTGACTTTCACGGAAAGTAACTGAGAAGCCTCTGCCACCAAAAGAGGGCAAATGGGCAATGATGTGTAAGTACTTCAACCTTAGCATCAATCCGACATCTTCAGAAGTACAAGGAGGTACTGTAATATGTAAATGATGAGCATAACATGTAGTTTGTAAAGATCTTACATCCATCTTCTTGTTTTCCAGACTTTGAAAGACATTCAGCAAGTTTGGAACTGTCACGCTTTAAGTAAAAGCGTATATGTTTTCGAATCTCTCGTCGTTTGACATTGTCAAGTAAGATGGAAGGCAGAAATGTTTCTAAGCCATAGTCTTTTCTGAAATGAAGAGAGAGATGAGATGAGAAAGGTCAACATGATAGTTTACTCGATCTTGGATATGGAAACTTTTCCTTCTTTCAGTATTCCAGAATCGATAGCCACTTGCTGCATATGCAAAGCTGCCAATCGGACACAAGCTTCATATCTGTTTTTGAGAAAAATGTTTATAGTTTCATGATGTTAGAGTGTGAATACCTCATTTCAAAAGCAAAACGACCTCGGATGACATCATTGATGGACTGCTGATAGATGTACTCAAAAGCATTTGGATCTTCTTGAAGCACGGTATGAATCTCTTTTGGTACGAAAGCAAAACGTAATACACATCGTAGGTGTGATGAATTAGGAAGTGACATTAACTATAATATAATTGGTTAAGCATATTAGTTATGTGATAGGTGGGCTTACTGTCTCAATGCGAGTCTCCAGTCGAAGAAGACTTATCCGACTTGTTCGAGCCCCCAAGGAGTATTCTAAGGCCAAAGCGAAAAAGCGAGAAGAACGGAACTGCAGCTTGCTGACTAAAGCAGTGAGAATCATCTGTAAAACGAAGATTTGAGTTTTCTAAATCCTGAACGGAATTTACTTTTACAGTAGTCTCAGGATTATATTTGAAAGATCTTGTTTGACCGTTCTCCAGAAAAACCCGCAAAACATTCGGAATCGAAGGAGGAAAATCAGAAGGCTGAAAGGCTTTAAGTGTTGACGACGATGATATGATGAACTCACTGAGTCCGGCCTAGATGCTACAATCACTCGATCGGTGAAGCGTACTTTGCATTGCCTACGTGCAGATTTCTGTAAGATGAGAGAGGTTATAAGAATGCATGGGATGAAGGACATACAGAAGGTCTGGGAGGAAGCTGTTGAACTGTCAAAGTGACCGTCTCTAAGGAGTTTCTAACCATTTCTACGACCTGTTCCTTCGTTTCATTTGACACATCCACCTGATTAACACATAATATTTGATCATTCGCATATAGCAGCCCTTCAGATGGACCTTCTGTAACACACAAGTTCATCTAGTGAGAGAGAGAGAATGAGAGAGTTGCATACCCGGCGATACAAATTGAATGATGGTAGGCTGTTGTCCAGCAGCTACAAATCCAAATCCTATATCTTTCCGTCGTTGTATTTCAACATCACGACGTCCTTCTGGTGCGACAGTATTGCGTGGATCTTTATATGTTGTTAAACGGTTGATATGACTGAAGGATGAGAGGACAATATAGATGTGACATGCTTAGATGACATACTCTATGAAGTACTTATGACCATATCTGTCTTTGGCCATCTCCCATCCATATGGCAATCCTTGTCGACATTTCCATGAAGCCCATGGTGGTTCCCAATGAGACGATCGTGTGCTGTGACTGAAACAAGAGAAACTTCAATAAGACATATAAAGAAGATAAAAATGAATTAGCATATTGATGTTTGACCATGTCAGTATGTGTGGTATACGTGTGAATGATGAAACCTACATGAGTTCACGTATCTCTTCGATACTCTTCGAATGTACAATTCGATTCGATGCAGGAAAATGAAAAGTAAGACTACGTGATTTGATCATCTGTCCATACTATGTATATCTTGAAGAAGATTATTTAAAGCCGAATCAATGATATATATATATAGAGAGAGAGAGATGTAGAGGGAGAGAGAGATAGAGAGAGAGTGAGATCAAAGAAACAAGAGCATCGAACAGAAAAAATGAAAAACGTTTGAGACTGAAGAAGCTCATGATGAAGAAGCTTCATTATGTATGTACGTTGACGTCATTAGTCATTTTTAAAATTGAATAATAAATTAAATTAATTTTAATAAAAGGTTATTAGCTAAAGGCGCTTTAAAGAAACTTTAAGACTTAAATGTAATTCTGTGTTTATCTCTCTTCCTGTAGATGACGTTTACCTGCTTGCTGACTGCCTGCCTGCTTGTTGCTGCTGTTGCCTGCTGCTGCCAGCAACAAGCATGCAGACAGCCGCAGCAAGCACACTAAGAATCTCTGTAAATGGTGGTCGAAAGGAGAGAAGGGGAGAGTGAGAGTGGGGGGGGGGAAGGATTGGAAAAGGAGGAGACAGAAGGTGAACAGTGAAGTTTTGCAAGAAAGAGAGATGGAACAAGGAATATTCAAATGACAACACAGTCATCAGCCGATAAACGTCTGCGTACTCTTAACCAGACAAAGAGCATTTTCATTTTCAAAACAAGCTGAAAAAAGCTCTTTTATGGAGACAAGAAGTCGGCCCTTCAGGGCTTTTGATTGACCGACACCACAGCTTAAGGAGTTATGAACTGAAAGAAAGCAACAAGCCTTAAATGGACAAAAGATTCTAAAGAATTTGTGGTGTAAGAGAATGATAGATATAACAAAAAGGGGTGAAAAGGCTAAAAAGAGAATGAGAGAGAGTATAAGATATGAAGAGAGAGAATAGAGAAGGGCATGTCAAAAAGAGAGAGAAAGCGACTGAAGAAATGGAGTTTGAAGAGAGATAAAGAGAGAACCAAATTAAGCAAGTGCAAGAAATGGTTTATAACAGAAATAAAAAAATGAAAGGAGAATGAAGAAAGAGGGTTAAGATTAGAAAGAGCAAAGTGACGAGGAATATGAAGAACGACGAGGACGACGACGACAACGGAGAGGGAAAGACGAGGAGTTATTGAAGTTTAATGAGAGAATAGCTGAAGAAAGAATTTTTGAAAGAAGAATTGTAACTGCTAGAGAAGAGAAAGCATAGCTCAACTAATCCATGGAGACAGCGTTTTACTCAAAAAAGGGAAAGAACAAAGTGGCGAGGATAGAAAGAGAGAGAGAGATAGAAGAGAATAGAAGAGAGTAGAGAGAGAAGAGAAGGAGGGAGGGAGGAGGAAAGAATAAATGATACCGAAAAGCATAAAGATGTTGTTGAGAAAGTAAAAATTGAACGAAAAGCTTACAAGTGAATAGTTTGTTTGAAATCAAAAAATGTCAAAAACAAGGTAAGTGAAAGGGGGTGTCAAGAGTCCAACTGTGCGACGGTAGAATAGGAATCAGAAGAAAGGCTTGACGTTGGTCGGCCGATCAAAAATAAGAAATTGAAAGAGATTAGGTTGAGCTAGAAGTTCATTGCAAATTCCGTAAACGGAACGAAGGTATTGTTATATACACTTATAGAGAGAGAGAGAGAGAGAGAGAGAGAGGGGAGAGGAAGGAGGGAGGGAATTCATAATAGACGGAAACTCATTTTCGTTGCAAGACACTTTACCAGAGAGAAAATTTTGTGAAAAAAAAGCATAATTTGGATGAATTCTACATGTTACTAATAGTTGCAACTCAACTTGTCTAACTGTCAACATGTCCTTCTGAGGGCAATTTACGTTTTGGCAGTTGTCTGAGTATAAGATTGAGGAAAAGACAGTGACGACGACTACGTCGACCATTCACTCCTTGTCTCTCGCTTACGGTAAAAACAAAAGAGAAGAGAGTGAAGAAGGCAAAGAAGAGAAAGTTCCAATGATTTTTGAAAGCGAAAAGTTATTATTGAAAACGAACTATAAACAAGCAATTAACATCTAAGCTCAGGCTTCATCTACAGTTGACAGTTAGTTTGTTGAGAGAACCAAAAAAGGGAAGGACAGGCAGATAGAGAGTGAAGGTGAGGGGTAGTGAGAGAGAGAGAGAGACAGTGAGAGAGATTATAAAAGTGAAAAGCTAAACATTCGAAAAAGGCAAAGAAGATGAAAGGAAAGGGGAATAGGAGAAGATGACAGTACAGAAGAAGAATATCCCGCCAGCCATCTAATTTGCATATTAATGCCTGCAGACCCTAACGGCGTCCAAGAATTTGAAAAAAAATCATTTTCAAATGCGAATAATCAGTTAGAACGGTTGTTGCTGAGAAGATAAGAGGAAGACGAGAAGGCAGCAGCAGCAGCAGCAACAGCATGAGCAAGCAGAGATTGTCAACATGAGATGCTTACTTACAAAATCTACTAAACATGTGTGATTTTGAAGACGAAAAGATGAATATGTCACTCTGCGGACTCATATTCTCGAATAGTTAATGACGCAATAGGGATTTTTAGTCAAAAACCAAAAAGGCAATAGCTGATGGCCACTATCGCATTGGGTGTGTGTGTGTGTGTGTTGGTGCGTGTGTTTGTTGGTCAGATGAGACGGACGGACGACACAACGAATGCAATGGAAACAAATCAATTGATATGGGAGGGTGAAATGAGCTTCATGTCAATCTCTAACAGAGCAAACAGTTAAAGAACATCATGAGCAACATCATTTCCCATCTTGCTTTTTTCAAATGCTGGATGGATGCTCATCATCTCATCTCATCTGGATGTGTGTGTGTGTGTGTGTGTGAATTTCCAATTATGGCAAGTCGGTTAATTGTAAAGAAATTATTAATTTTAATAATAATTATTGCAATTAAGGACAATGAGTTTACGACTCAACCGATTACTAACCACCGTGTGTAATTGAGAAGATGAGAATGATGAAGCTTGTGCAGCTTGTGAAGCTTCGTCAAAACGTTAATTTACTTTTTGGCTGAGTAAAGGCCATTTAAGGAAGTTAAGAGAGATGAGAGCAAGTATACAAAGATACTTTTTGTCCCCAAAATCTTCACTTTATCCTTTACCAAAAGCTGTGTGTCATCTGCTCATCCTCCACAGGCGGCATGAACGAAAGGAAAGGGAAGGAGGGTACTAGAAGGGAAACCAACTAAGAGAGAGAGAGAGATAGAGAGAGAAGAGAGAGTACAGCCTTGGTCTTCCCATTTTCCCAAGGGCTGCATTTCAAGACGAATATGGACTATTTATTACAAGAAACTCATGTTCATCTCAAAGAACAGAACACAATTTTCAATTTTTTAATCAAAAAATGAAAATTGAAAACTCAAAGGTGCGGGAAGGAGGGAGGGAGGGAGAGAGAGAGTAAGATGGTGCAGAGAAAGAGAGTGTCTCTTACCAATCTACAGGTTCATGAATGAATAACCAAACAACAAAATAAGAAACGTCAAAGAATGGAATTAAATGTGTGTATTCTAATGAAATCACATCTGTCCATCGCTTAGCATCACGTTACGCTGCCCCGAAATTCCATTTAAGGGACTGAAGAGGCATCACAGACACACACACATACACACACATACACATCATGTGGCTGGTGTGTTGAAAAAAAATCCTTTTTTTTCTTGACCTTTTGAGTAGAATCAATCAAAATATGAGAGAAGATGAAGAGAAGGAGATAGCAGGGGGGGGAGAGGAGAAGAAGCTGAGGAACGTATGAGCAGAAGCTGAAGAAACAATCAGTTTCAGTTTTGAGAGCCAAATATAAGCTTTTGATTGAAGAAATGAAAAGTCTGAAACATGGCGGGTGGTCAAGTAATCGCTTGTCCTTCTGCAAGAGAGATACAATGGAAATGAGAGACGGAACGAGTATGAGTAAGATACAGAGAGCGGGAAATAAAAAGCGCTCCAATAAAGAGAAAGAGAGAGAGAGAGAGAATGGGAGAGAGGAGAAAAAGGAAAAATGAATGGAAAGAGTTACATAGGAACATCGTAATGATCGCTAGCGAATACCGCCTGAGGGCTAGTAATGTTCGATTGGGTTGTGCTTAGTCTTACTCCTCATCATACCCACTTATCATTACTTGTGATCCTTCCATATATGAAGAAAAGAAACATGGAATAACTAGACCATTTGAATGTCAGCCCAGATAAACAGCCGACATGAGACAGATGCCAGAAGAAGCAGAAATTCATGAATTATTGGCGACCCGAAAGAGAAGCTCAAAACGGAAAAGCTCAATGTGCGCACCGTGTTTGACATGAGACTTTATGCTTCTGACATCTTTTTATCAGAAATGGGTATACGTTCCTGTTGTTTGTCTCTCTCTTTACTCATTCGATCTAAATTCTTACTTCCTCTATCTACCTCTCTACCTCTCTCTCTCTCTCTCTCTATCTCTGTCTATCACTATGGACTGCCCTTTGAAGAGGAAAAAACGCGAAGAGCGGATTGAACAACATGATGATGAAAAGCCTTCTATCATCAATCTTCCAATATTGAAGGTGTTAAAAAGATGAAAAAGATATGTCATAGAAGTAAGCAATGAGAAAGACAGAGAGAGAGAGAGATAGAAGCTGGTAGGGAGTTGGTTGAGGAAGAAGGGGGGGGGGGAGAAGCTTGAAGCACAAAGTCTGAGAATCATTCAAAGAGGAAGGCAAAGGCAAAGAAGTTGGCGAACCACTTAAATCTCATAATATATGATGAGCTATGAATGATATTTTTGAAGACGACAACGAAAGTAAAGAAAATCAATGAAAGTTCTTACTTCTACAACTCTCTCTCCCCCTCTCTCTCTCTCTCTCTGTATATCTCTCTCTATGTAGTTTGAACTCTAAGAAGTTGAAACTGAAATGATACTTGAACGACAAAGTTCAAATAATCTTTGTGACAAAACACATGGAACTGCTGAGGCCATCCATTAATCCTCCGATTTTCGCCTTTACTAAAGCGATTTTATAATTTCATTCGTAGCCTCAAGGCATCATGTAACCAAAAGACAATAGTATGAGAGGGAAGAATATGGAGAGAATAGAAGCAATGAGAGAGAGAGAAGATCAGAATGAACGGAAGAAGAAGAATCCTCGATAGCGCAATCAGCCAGAAATGCTTAAGGAACATCTATGGTGGGATCGGATGAGATGAGGAGTGGTGTGGTGGAGTGGAATAGGGGTGGAGGGGAAGATGTAGGATAGATGGGGAAAGACCTCCAGTAAAGCATTCGTTCTCTCTGACTGTAGAGTATGTCTGATGATGATGTTAATCAGATTAATAGCTTAAGCAGAAGAAGAAGAAGAAGAAGAATAAGAAGAATAAGAGACAGAGGTATATCTCATATGCTGCTCGTATCTACAATCAGTGAAAGAAGCAGAAAAGAAAGATTGTCAGGCAAAACTGCCTGAGGGCATAAACTCTGGTTGAACGTATTGAGAAAACAAGGAAGAGATGAGAATTGTATCAAAAAATGTGAAAAGATTGAATGAAATACAAATGAATGACAGATAGGATAACTGTGTGTAATGAAGTTGTAAATTCTATTAGTCAAAAGTGAAGAAAAGAAGGAAGGATGGATAAAGAGAAAAGTAAGAAACGAACAAATGGGTTAACACACACACACACACACTCACACACACGTCCTCTCTCACAGAGATAGAGAGAGAGAGGTAGAAGTATAGAGAGAGTTACACACACACACGTAGAGAGAGAGAGAGATAGAGAGATGAATAACAGAAAGGCAAGTAAATCAAAGTTATAAACTAACAACAATCAGAAGGCAGTCGAAGTAACAACTCGAAAATCATAAAAAACGTCCTCCGACAATGATGATGATGATGATGACGACGAGCCTGGCCACGAACTTCTTGAATGCGAAGAAGCTGAGAAGCCCGAAGGAACATTTGTAACAAATCATCTTTTTCTCTTTCAACTTCTTCCTCTTCTTCTTCTTCTTCTTTTTTCTTTTTTTTAAAAAATAAATGAAAAATTATTGTTTTAACAGAAGGCCAGACACATGTTCATTGGAGAGGTATAGGTCAGCTGGTGGCGGGCATTGCTTCTCACTCACTCACTCATTCACTTTGATTATGATGATCAACGTCCTTCCTTCATTACAAGCTCTATCCCTCTATGCCCATTTTCAGTTGCAGCAAATCGCTTCAATGATTCGTTTGAACACATTTTCAATACATTGGAATCTTGAGAAAAAAAAAATCATTGAAAACAATAGGAAATTTGAGTGAAATTGACGAGAAAATCAGTCAAAGAGCACAACCGCTCATTCGTCTCATTCAATATCAGAATGACCAAATCTCACGTGAAAACTACGTGAGAAAGCTCGTGTGTAAGTGTGTAAGTGTGTGTGTGTATGTGATGGAACTAGAAGGACATGATCTTAGTCCAACATATTCCCAAAACGATATTCTGAAGAGGAATGAGAAGGCAAATCATAAATTTCAAAAGGAAAGGGCATTGAAAGAGAAAAAAATGAAGGAAAGTCAATGGGCCGCAGCTTCATCCAGCCGAGGCGCAGCTTCTCCTCTGCTCGAGATCCATTTTTTTTGGATTTCATTTTAGTGGGAAACAATAAAAACAAATAGAACGAAGAACGGCCATTCTCCATAACATAATCCAAAACACTTATTTCCAAAAAATTAAATTTCGTTTCTGCTCAACCCTCCTCCTCCTCCCCCCTCCTGTCTTTTATGCTTAACTATGCGTATAAACTAACAGCAGTAGCAACAGCAGCAGCAGCAACAGCATCTTCTCTCTCTCTCTTACTTACTCTCTCTCTCAGTCTCGATGATGACAGTCTTTGGAAGATTCTTTTTGATATTATTGTCTTATTGAGTCCAAATTATAAATAATAGTTAATCTATTATATTATAAACAACATAATCCAATTAAGTCACATCGTGAGTCAGTCAGTCAGTCTACCCTAGTCTACCCCAGTCCAACGCAGTTCGTGCTTTCGAAGCATCTTCACCGTAATTGGTGGTTAACATGCATGCAAATGAAAAGGCTATCGGTCATCTTCAAATGACTTTCGTCATCTTACACGTAGTACACGTACATGAGCTAACAGAAGCCTTTTCATTCCCTTTTTAATTTTAATTGAAAAATGAACTAACCATATATAGAATATGCGTTGATCATCCAGCAGGCACAGATCACAAGTTTGAACGATGGATATGTCACGTGAATGATAGGCTTCCGATGTTTCCGTTGATGTTGAAGCTTCTACAGATGTATCTACGATGGCACTAGAAGTAGAATCATCCTGGAGCATACTGTCCATTCAACACCATAGACGAGTTCTCTCTGAAAACATCTATGAATCAATCGATAAGCATTGAATGTAAGAAAGTAGGATACGACAAGGGCAAATGAGAAGAAGAGAGAGAGAGTGAGAGAGAGAGTTGTAAGATAATAAAAAAAAGTTTTTTACTATATTTAATATTGAATTTTGCAATCAGCAGGAACTTGCAAATAGACAAGTTCACTAGATGGGATCGATGAGGAAGATGTGTGAGTGAGTGAGTCGAGTCTGTGTATATGGTGTGTGTTGCGGCTGTGTTGAAGAACAGAGTCATATCTTGCCAGATAAGGAAATATATATATATATATAAAGAGAAAACTGATTCATTTAATTAAATTGCGTGAATTGTTCGTTTGCAGCCAAGAGCGAAAGTTCAGTGTCACACACACCACACCATAGATGGAATTTTGCTTTTTTGGCTTCCGATGGAACGGAAAATGATTTTCTGCATCACAAACTGCCGCGGATACCTTATGAATTGAACATTTGCATAGATAGATGGAAGAATGGTGAAGATGAAGAAGAAGAAGCAAAGGAAAAGCATGAAGATTAGAGAAGTCCGGAACATGCAATGATGTCGTCAGTTCATCATTAAAAATAAAACTTTGAAATCGGAAAGATGCAGAAGAAGAAGAAGAAGAACAAGAAGAAGCAGAAGCAGCAGATGAACAAGTAGTAGATGAAGAAGACGATGAACAAGAAGACAGACGCTTAAGAAGCAATGTAGTAGAGAGAAGATGAAGATGAAGAAGAAAAAATGGAAGAACAACCGCTCCAATGCATTTCCAATTAATAAAATGAAAAATGACGATGAAAGATGGCTCACGTGAGATTCACTGCTTCAGTTGCGTTGAGAAAGGAGATTTAAATAATTTAGTTTGAAGAATGAATTAATTCAAATTAAAATAATAAAAGGCTGCTAGCTTAGAGCTTAAGCATGATGAAAGACGGAGTTCAAATGGAAAGCTCAACATGAAGAGAGAGAGAGAGAGAGAGAGATGGAGAGATGAAAAGAGAGGGAAAGATTCAAAGAGAGAGAGAAAGAGGAACGTCTGAAGATGATCATCCTTTTATAGAAAAACTCCTAGCTGAGAATTCTCAGGCATTTTGTTCAGAATTATGTCTTTCAAAAACTTTTTTATTCTTTTCTCCTCTTCCACCGCTACCATCATGTCTCAACCCGCCTCCTTCATTCAAACTTCGTTGGATGCTTCATCTTCTATTCCAATTGAACGAAACTATTTATTAATTAAATTCTTCTCTTTTTTTTTAATTTTGCCAGCTTCATTTGCTTTGCAACTCTGAAAGCCCGTCCAAGAGACTGCTTCTTCATCTCCTTCTTCTTCGACTTCGCCTTCTCCTTCTTCGTCTTCAAAATAGAACGAAGAGCAAACGTTTAAGAAGAAAGTTGCAGAATTTCATCTTTTCAGCCAATTTCAAAATTAAATTGGCCAACAAACACCCGTAAGAGCTCAAAGAAAGAAAGAGAGAGAGAGGGAGGGAGGGAGGGAGAGAGAGAGAGAGAGAGAGAAGGAAAACGAAAAGTTTGGAAAGTTGTCAAAACATATTCTCAGCTTTTCGTCATTTGTATATCAGACTCAGCTGTTGGAGAAAAGAAAAGAATAAGAAGTAAGTTCTCCTTCCCTCTCTCTCCTACCCTCTCCTTCCTCGCTCTCTCCCTCAGTCCCTCTCCCTTTCAACTTCATAAATATAAAAATAATAAAAATAGCTGACGCATATAAATGGTCAAAATTGAAGAATAAAAATCGAAAGACAATTATGAGCTTCGTCTGGAACGACCAGCGGATCTTAGCTCTCTTGCAAAGCCTATCATGACCCAGTCTATCCCCCTCTCTCCTCTCTCTCTCTCTTCACTCTTCTCCCCAAAACATTTTTCGATGAAAAAAAGGAATTAACAAACAAAAGCATATGGAGGGGGGGGGATGGAAGAAGACGAAAGGAAAAGCTAAGAAACATCTGACGAGTTCAAAATAGAGATTGAGTTCAAAGATATTTTCCTTGAAAAATAAGGAGGGAGAGAGAGAGAGAGTGTAAGATTCAGAAGAGACGACAAAGCATAGCTACCGCTTACAACAAATAGTTTTTGAGGAAGAAAAATTTTTGTTCCTGATTTCGTCGAACAGCTTTATTCATGCCAACGTAACGTTGTCGTTCATGAGAACCACACACAGCCCACGACATCTCAGTTCAAGTCAGAACAGAGAAAGAGAGAGCGTGATTGTGGTGATTGCGATGTAAAAAAAGAAACATAAAGACCAAGCTTGGAATGATAGAAGTTTGCCTCATTCAACTAAAAAAAAAGAGAAAAAAAAACGAAAAAGACAATGAAAGGCAGAAGAAGACGAAAGGATAGAAGGAGATGAAGACGAAGACGAAGATGTTGAAGCTGAAGCAGAAGCAGCAGAAGCAGCAAAGCAGTTGGCCAAAAAATGCTCCGGCTATTCTCAGCCACTTATGGCAACAACTGAGGAAAACAATGACATGAGGGACATGCACGACTTCTTGTTTTTCCTCTTCATCCTCACTCATCTCCAGGGACTATTTTATTTATTTTGTATTCTAGATTGCTGTGAAATCTGTAGCTGCTGTTGTCAGCCTTGCCAATGCTATTAGAATGTTGCAAAAGTAGGAAAAATCGGCTATGCAAAGGAAAAAAAACGAATAGAGAGAGAGAGATAGAGAGAGGAGGAGGAAAAGCATCAGGCTTGTAGAGCTGAGCTTAAACAATTCCTCTTCAGGAAGTACAAGGAGTTAAGGAGATACGAAGAGAGAGACACAACCAGCAATATACATCTACACGAGTAAGGAGAGAGAGAGGGAGAGAGAGGGTGAATAAGAAAGGAACAAAACAATCACAAAGTTTTATGAAAAACTTCTTCAAGTCTTTAATGCTTGTTCGTTTCGTCCCTTCTCTCTCTATCGACGACTGCTCATGCCCTTTCTCGTCGTTTCTTCCAAAGCACTCTCTCTCTCTATCTCACTCACTTCACTCCCTCATATGAGTTGGATGGATTTATTATGAAATCCAAAAGAAAACGAGTAACATTTAAGAAACTAGATAAGAACAAAGCTTTCATAGACATGAAGATGAAGAATCGTCAGTAAAAGGACAAAATCGAAGATGGAGGTCTTTGTCTGTTGACTCATTTGCTTCTTCAAAGACATCCCATCAGAATGGCTACTGATGAGGAATCTATCGACAACCGGAAATGACAAGGAAATACATTTCAAAGCAAAAATTAAAATAACAAACAAAATAAATAATTTGTATAATTAACGATAAACAACGGATGGATAGAGGGAGAGGAAGAGAGAGAGAGATTGAGCCAAAGAGGAAGAGGAAGAGATGGGATGACGATGATCGTTCATACGACGCTTCTTCTTCAACTAATACAATCTGAAGACAGAACTGATAGTAAGGTATTGTAGAAATGGAGATGTGTGGACTTCTTTCATAAGTTTTCAAGCTTCTCTACTTATTCAGGCTTACTACTGACACACATACACACACGTAGACTCTCTCCTTCTCTACAACTACGTCTACCTGCCGGCTACTAGTGAACAACAACAATATTTGAAAGAAAACTCAAAACTCTAGAGCCCAAACGTGTATGTGGGGTGTCATCGTACAAATACAGAACAGCAGAAGCAGAAGTAAGAGCAAGAGAGAATGATGATGAAAAGACGCGCGGCCGCTCGCACCTTAATGATATCATAGATGATAATAATAATTTATGACAAATGGACTCATTAACTATGTGCTGCATATAAACATTTTGAAAAATTCATTTTTAAACTAAGTGAAATGGCCTTTTTGCACGAATTCATCTTCCCCATAACCAGAGCAGATCAAAAAAATGATCGATTTGTGGCAATTCTTCATGAAGATCAAAGTACATACAGACAAGACGAATAGCTCTTGCTCTCTATCTCATCCTCTCTCTCTCTCTCTCTCATCCTTTTGTATTATACTCTATCCATATATGGTTTTGTATTTAACTAATCATATTCATTTCATTATTTTATTTCATATAAAAAGCAGCTGAGACTTAATATGAGGCAGAGATGAGAAGTTTGTTTTCATCTGAACGAGCAAATCAGAAATCGTCCAGCTCAATTCCCATCTGACCTTTTACATTCGGGTCGACACTAAAACTGAAACGACGAGGACGATGAAGAAAAAGGAGAAAAAAATCTTTTTTTTTCAATTCTCTTGCAAATCTTTAAAGAGAGAGTGAGAGAGAGAGTGATTGCGCTGTCTGTCTGTGTGTGTGTATGTGTATGTGTGTGGGCATGATTGAAGGTGAAGCTGACGAAGTTGGTAGTAGAATGATGTCATTCCTTTTCAATTATATGAATTAACGTGAAATGAATGGGAAATAATTAGAGATTGATTATTCGTATAGTTATGTGTGTATATACGCATAAATATATATCTTTTCTACCCACAAATCAATTAGATTTTACTAATTCGCCACAGGCGATTGCTCAAGACGAACACGAAGAAGAAGAAGAAGAAGAAGAAGCTGAAGAAGGAGAAGAAAGGATGTCAGCAGCAACAGCAGTAGCAGTAGAGGCAACACACTCAATCGAATAAGGTAAAACAACAATTGTCAGACAAAATATAAAAAAAAGAAAAGAAAGAAAATCAGAAGATTCATAAATAAGATTTGCTAACTAATTCACAGCTATGCCCCCCTCTCCCTCTCTCTCTCTCTCTCTTCTCTTTCACTCCTTCCCTTCTCTACCAGATCCAAGTTAACAGACAAACACGTCAAGAAAATAAAAGAGGATCGAAAGAGGGAAGGGAGGGAGGGAGGAAAAAGAAAAAAAAAAGAAGAAGAAAATCAAAAAATAATTGTAAAATTCAGTCAAACGAATGACATTCTTTATTCTTCTTTCATTTGCTCATGATGACAAGCAATTGATGCACACGAACTCTGCTTAGCAGTTACCAACCAACCAACTACCACGACTAGCATTGCCCATCTAGTTAACTGTGCCTAATTTGGCATCTGTTATGATCTATCTACACGACTGAAACGCTGCCAATACTCTGCCTATTGGCTGCACTTCCACCCATGGGACCAATTGTCGCCGATTGTCGCACTTTTTCACTGACTATCCATCACTAGCTTCGTCCACATCATTATATCCTATAATTTCTCGCCAACTAGTCATTTCATCATTCAACATACAAGACTCTGCAGACGTTTGATTTGCAAATACACAATATGTTAAACAGAGATTACTTCATTAGGCATTCCAAATTCAGCAACAGTACTTCCTGAATGACGCCAAGTATTATGGTCATTCATTTCAATTCCCACCATAGATCTCCCTCTCAATTCAACTCCTTGCACACATATGTGAGAAGAAACATGCTTCACGTTCTCAAGTTCGCTGTGATAATAGGAATGCAACCCTTCTGTGAGTCAGAATGTAATTTTCTGCTTTGCAACAACTCGCCCCAATAATTTCTTTGTGTGTCTGTTGAAACAAGACAAATCATATGTTACAACTTTATATTCCAATACGTTAGTAGAGAAGAATTAATCAAGTTATTAGCGTTATTCACGGGGCTTACGGTACAACACCGCAATTATCAAGTATTGTACAAAGACGAAAACATTATTATATACCAATGCATGATTACTATAGATGAATGCGATCTAGCTTTTCAAAAATAAAAAAGATTTTTGATAGCAAATGATTCCCCGTATTTCCAAAGATTGATCAGATCACTAACATTGCGCTTTGACACCTTACTAGCAGACACATATTATGTGCTTTAAGCGAACTAGTGAACTTAATTTCTCCATAGATATTTTTGATTAAAAAAACTAATATAGTTATGTACAATCTGGTTAAATGGAATTAATGCCTATTCTCTTTAGAAGCTAATTAGAGGTTGAAAGATACTTGCTTAACATCTCTCAGGCTTACTACCTGTTTGTCAAGCTGAATTGTAGATATATGAAGCGATGTGGTCATTCTAAAAGCAGTCGTCGTATGGATCTCCTCCAAACTTCGCCATGGACGCATTGGTTTGACGAGGATTTGGTTGTCTGCAAAAACAACATTAGACTACCGAAAATGATAGAAGCGAGTGAGCACAAAGTAGCAATGAAAGATTTGCGCGCTGATAAAGTGTAAAGCATTTTCAAAAACCAAGCCTAATTCTGGTGCAGAATCCAGAAACTTACCGGTCTGCGTTTCTCTGTCACTGTATAATTACATTATTTTTGGAAAATTGTATAAATTTTTTGGAAAGAAATGATAAACTAACATTTTGGTTGGGACAGGTATACCCGTTCTTCGGGGTAGCCTGGAAGGACCAGGTATCCGAGAATTTGGAGTTGCCGTTGTTTTATTAAGGACGGCAATGTCTACCGATTTACTACTTGCTAAAGATCCAGCGGATGAATGTGGACTTCCCTGAACACAAAACTTTGTATTATGGATTCTACTCGCGTTATTACATTTGATTTGTTAGGTTCTCCCTGCCACGAATATTTCCGCTCATTTGAGTTCCTCACAGCTTGTCGAAGAGCTGCAAATTGAAGTGTAAAAAATTGAATGATTTTTCGAAAAAACCTTCTTCTTGTTGTTGAGCTAGTGACGTGACCTGTTGTAAATCTCGGTTAAACTCTTCGCGAAGAATAGGTGAAGCACGAGACACTGGTCGAGATGGAGTAGTCTAAAACAACAACATGAATGACGTTCAACAACTAACAAAACGGACATCAAGTGAGTTTTTGCTCCAAGTACGATCAGTTTTAGTAAGCGTTGATGAGTTTGGCGATAAGTTAGAATGAGATTTCTGTAAGCTTGAGATTAGACAGAAAGAAAACAGAATCAAATGAATGAAAACTGAAGATGTTAAGAGTATTCACCATAACCCGTGGATTCCTTGGTAACCGAGTTTCATTATTAGTAGGTTGTTTACTCAAAGTAGAGAATTGACTTCGAGATAACGCCTGTTCTCCGAGAGAACGACGTAAGGTTCCGTTACGAGATGATAAGGGAGTTGTTAATGATTTCTATATTGAATGAGTTAGGAAGGAACAGAGGAATTAGTCCAAAAACGAAGATCAAGACTTACATCATCTCCGGGCTTTAGCCTGCTCGACTCAGAACCAAGAGAAGACGTTGCTGAACGGGGGCTAACTGACGAAGATCTTCAAAAAAAAACATGAAAACAATACGAAAATTGATATATACCTGGCTTGACGAGGTAATGTTAGTTTAGCGGGTGTCACAGATGAAGGAATGTCCTCTTCATCAACTTTGATTAATGATTGTGTCATACCTGTCCGAATGCATGACTGACCTAAACAACAACTTGAGATGTACGGATTCTGAAGTGGATATGCAGGATGTCGGTTTCTTTCTGACAATCACAAGTGTTCATGCTTGTTCACAAAATATGCACATTGAACATTATACAACAACATGGAAAGCCCCCAAAATAAGGAAAATTCGAAACAAACCAGGGTCTCTTCTGTCTGAGAGGATTGATTCGATGCTGCTGAATGATGCTGTCAACGATATTGCGTTGAAAGCTTCTTCGGAAAAGTCATCAGCGGCGTCATAAAACTCTTCGTCGTCATCGACCGTGAGTGTAAGCTTTTCTAATTGTGGCTCTGAATCAGGCTCTTCCATTCTGATTGGTGAGATCACTGATAACATCTTCTGACTGCGATGAGCAATTGGGTGTATGGGTGTTGACGAAATAGGAAAAGCACTCTTCACCATAGGTGACATAGGTGACATAGTTGGAGCAAACGAAACACTTTTACTGCAACTGGCATCCTCAGGGAAGACTTCAGGACTAGACATATCTGTATCAACAGATACACCCAGTCCTGAAGACTGATCACTTGAGGAGATTTCATCATTTGTCGAAAAGCTGCATGGGCTTTCTTCTTTCACAGAAGCGAGTGACGACATGCGTTCCAAAACGGCTGAAAAGAAATGAACTATCCTCACAACACAATATCCAATCCATAGAGTTAGTAGTGATCCAGAGCCATATTAGTTATGTTTGAAACAGAAAACACACAGTGATAAACAACAAAACAAGGTGTGCGCAAGCAAAGTTGACGAGTCATGCGATGAGCAAACGGTTAATAACTGTACAAACCTCGTTTCTTAGTATATTTTGCTATTTTCTTGGATAACGTGGCAGCACTCTCAGATAGTTTCACTTCTCCCAAATATTCTTTGATGTCAAACGGTTTAGAAGACTGAACAGCAACCTAAACGCCGCCAAATCGATAAACACAAATAAAACAAAAAGCAAATTAACATACATCTTTAACGCTAGGAGTTAGCCAGCAATCTTCGTCATCTTCAAAATCTAATCCAAACGACGTCATTGAGTGTTAGTAACTATTAATCAGAAAAACTATAAACCGCTAACTCAGTGTTGATTAGTAGAAATGAGACTGGATGCGTGAAGAAGAAGACACGCGCCCGAACGCACGCCTTTTGCGCCTGCAATCATACACTTGAACAATTATGCAAATTATTAACTAAAACAAGAATTTCAAAATCTCTTATCGGTCATATGTGTTTTAAAAGCATTTTCAACATGGTGGATCCGACTGATAACAAGAATTCTTATCATTTTTCAAAAATACTCAACAGATGTGCACACCGAAAAGACGCCAACAATTTTTCATGAACCACCCTTTTCAAATAGACTTGAGAGTATTGTCATAGCAACTTATTTCTGAATAGAAAGGATTGTCTATTCAGTTTGAATAAGTTTTTAAAACCTTCAGTTAACGAGAAACGAAATGACTGACTATCAAAAGAAATTTGATCCAGTTTTACTATCTATAGCTCAAGAACTTGAAGGAGGCATTCCCCAGTTTTTCGATGTTCTCTTCAGTTTCCTCTCAAGGTTCAGTTTCACTTCATCAAACGAGTAATTATAATCTGTTACTCTTAGGAAGACAGATTTCTATACTGGAGCTGATATTGAAGATGCTCAGAATATGGTCATGACATACTTCAAGAAACATGGAGCTGAAGCAGAAAAGCTTGCTCGAGAGAAGCTCAAACTGAAACAAGAGCAAGAAGAGAAATTAAGACAGAAGAGACTTGCTGAGAAACTTAAAGAAGAGGTATATCCTTATTCTATGATGCTCATAACCGTTTTCTACAGTCCAGAGTTACTGAGATCACTGATGAGGAGGCTGAAGTACTTGCCAAGTAGGTGATAAATCTATATTCACCTCATTCTGTATATATGCTAGGAAGTTGGAAGCACAAAATAAAGTCGATGAGAATGTGGTTGAAAAAGAGTTGCCTGACGGTGAGAAGAAAGACGGAGATAAAATTAAACCCAATGCTGGAAACGGTGCTGATCTCGAGAATTATCAATGGACTCAAACTCTCCAAGAAGTCGATGTAAGGATCATTTACTTCCTAGGCTTGTAAATATGCTTTCTTACAGTTGACAGTTCCTTTCAAAGTTAACTTTGCTCTGAAATCTCGTGATGTCGTTGTGAAAATTGAGAAAACACATCTTTACGTTGGGTTGAAAGGACATCCTCCAATCATCGATGGAAACCTTAGCGCTGCTGTGAGTTAAACACTTTCGACTTGATCAATGACAGCTTCTTCAGGTGAAAATCGAAACATCTACATGGATTTTGGATAAGAAGTCTGTAGTTCTTTCACTAGAGAAGGTATGTAACCATCCTTACATCTACTTCAACCTAGTGTCATCATGTTACAGGTTAAAGACATGGAATGGTGGTCATGTGTTATTGAAGGCGAGCCTTTGATTGAAACAACTTCAGTTCAACCAGAGAACTCGAAGCTTTCTGATTTGGATGGAGAGACTAGAGCTATGGTGAGTACAGAAACAGTTCACTCATCAGTATTTTTTGTAGGTTGAGAAGATGATGTACGACCAACGACAAAAGGAGTTAGGTTTACCCACAAGTGACGAGAAGAAGAAACAGGATATCTTGAAGACGTGAGTGTGTGAATCGCATCAAGGTTAATCAGAGTGTGCTTCCAGATTCATGGCACAACACCCAGAAATGGATTTCTCTAATGCCAAGATCGCCTAAGCCCCTCCCGGTTAATTGAATTGTTTTTTTTACGTTTTATCTGTTGTTACAATGAATTTTTCTTTCCAAACGAAGTTATTTTTGATTCTCAATAATTAACTATAATTATAAAAATATTTTTTGCGATCACATTGGATTTGGCGCGCTGTTATTTCATACGTGATAAGCGGTCACGTACTTTGTACCGGCGTTTTAACGTTTTCGCACATTGGACTTAGACGCCCTTAGAAAGTTCTTGCCATTCTCTTTTCCTTAGACGTGCTCATCTTGTCGTTAGTAATATTCTTTATTAAGGTCTGTTCAACCTAGCATCATAATGTCGAAGTCAGGTGAGTACCACAACTGTTACCTCGCGTTATGTGCGTTGTTCAGGAGTTTTCATCGTTGGCGCTAAGCGTACAGCTTTTGGAACATTTGGAGGAAAGCTCAAAAATCACAGCGCTACTGATCTTGGAGTAATTGCTACCACTGGAGCCCTCGCTCACGCCGGAGTCAAGCCAGAGAAAGTTGATCATGTTATCTTTGGTATGAATAATCAAATGAAAGAGAAATGATCATTCTGTGCAGGAAACGTTGTTGCTTCTGCCAAAGACGGAATCTATCTCACTCGTCACATTGGATTGAAATCGGGAGTACCACAGCAAGTTGGAGCTTTGACAGTAAACAGACTCTGTGGATCCGGATTCCAGTCCATTGTCAATGCTTCTCAGGTATAGTAGTCACTACAACGCATTATCAATAAGCCTTTCAGCAAATCAAATTGGGCGAGTCTTCTATCGTTGTTGCCGGAGGAACTGAGAATATGTCTCAAGTTCCATTCGCTGTTAGAAATATCAGATTCGGAACTGGCCTTGGTCAGAAATATGAAGTATCAATATCCAAGCTCATATCATTTGAGATGATAAATCTTGCAGTTCGAAGACATGCTTTGGGAATCTTTGTCTGATCCTTATTGCAAACTTGCCATGGGACAAACTGCTGAAAAGCTTGGAGCTCAATACAAAGTAACTAGAGCTGATGCCGACGAGTTCGCTCTTCGCTCTCAAACACTTTGGAAGAAGTCGAACGAAGCCGGAATTTACAAGAATGAAATTGTCCCCATTACTTTGAAGGGAAGAAAGGGAGAAGAGATCTTCGAGGTAAGAAAGTAATTGACGAAGAGTAGCGTACCTGGTATCTTGAATAGGTTGATGAGCACCCACGTCCAACTACTGTCGAATCCCTCGCTAAACTGAAGCCTGTTTTCCAAAAGGACGGACTCGTAAATGCTGGAAATGCTTCTGTATGTTGAAAGAGGAAACTCAAAACATTACATTTGTCTCTCAGGGTATTTCTGATGGAGCTGCCGCTTTAGTCGTTGCTGGAGAAGAGGCCGTTTCAAAGAACGGACTCAAGCCTTTGGCTAGAATTGTCGGTTATGCCGCTGTTGGATGTGATCCTTCCATCATGGGAATTGGACCAGCTCCAGCTATCCGTGCCCTCATTGAGCAAACTGGAGTCAAGCTTGATGAAGTCGATATCATCGAGGTAAAGAATTTCAATAAAAAAGCAAAATATACCTTGGATGATAGGTTAACGAAGCTTTTGCTCCACAAGTTCTTGCTGTCCAACGTGACCTCAAAATTCCAACTGAGAAATTGAATGTCAATGGTGGAGCTATCGCTTTGGGACATCCTCTTGGAGCTTCTGGTGCCAGAATCAGTACTCATATTGTTCACGAACTCAAGTAAGGAAGTATGAATTATTGATGACCTACGAACATATTATAGGAGACGCAACGTTAAGTACGGAATCGGATCTGCATGCATTGGTGGAGGACAAGGAATCGCTATTCTCTTCGAAAATGTTAATTAGATATCTTGAAAGCTCAATCTTAGAATCGTGTAAATATATAAATTATTTAAACTTCAAAAAGATTTTATTGAAAAGAGATCAAAATTCAGAAAATTGGTTTTTTCTTCTTTGGTGGAGGTCCGTTAGTCGAAACGTTGTACAAGAGGGTTGGAGGAGAATCTTAGATGGCGAATATAAGATCAAAGAGCAGCAGCTTCATACCTTCTTCTTTCTCCTCAACTTCTGAGCCTTCAATTCCATATTCATAGATTAGTATTGATTTAGCGAGTTTAAGAGCATTGTAGTCCATACTATCAGGTGGTAACGCTTCCATGATAGGCTTGAGTCTGCCAACATCTGAATAGGATGATGGTTCAACATTATCCATTTATATCTAATTTATTACTTCGACCTATCTTGTCTAAAGCAGTTAGAACGAGATTGATTTTAGCTTCCGACACCCCAAGAACGTCATAATGCAGAGGCAAACCCATTTGACATGCAGTTGTCAAATAGGCGAAAACGGTTGATTCGCTGATGACTCGTTGTCTTGCTAAGTCAGTCTGAAAGGAACATTTTGATTTCACGCAAGTCAGACGTGGATATTACAGCTGATAATTTCATGGAGACATGCAGTTTGTATGTAGATTGGATAGCAGGTGTTAGTTTTTGGATTATGGCTTCTAACTCCGCTGGTAACTGAATTAAGATATTACTACTCATGTTGTGGTACAGTCGTAAAATACCTCATCAGGAGATGATGGTCGATTAACGGAGAGTTTGTGTTTGGAACAGAAATCTTTTATACAGTCAACGAACCTAGCTCCGAACCTCTGTCGACGTTCGAGAGGAAAATCGGAAACAATATTCAGGTTTTCAACACTGAAAACAATAATAAGTCCTTGTTCTACTGGAATCGGAAACCTGTCAGGACGACATTTAGCCAACTCATCCAGTAATTTGTTGGAAGCTATTTGGAAGGGACCACATTCAATATCACTGGCAAGATCAACACGAAGATTGTCCAGTTCTTTTCTGAGCTGCTCGACCTGAAGTTATCATTTCATCATGATGAGAAGAAAGGTGTTGGACAAACGTTCTGAGTTTCAGAAGTATCAGAATAGTCAACAAAGCTATAAGAGGCGGCAGACTTATACGTTCTGCTCTTGACTTTCTTGAGAATCCTGTTGAAATGAGATGGAGTATTTTGATTTAAACAAGAATTACTTTTCTTCTTCTGCTCCTATCGCAGTGATTCTGGTCACCCCTGTACCATCAGTAGTTCTTTTACCTCTGGCTCCAACAGCCTTCTGTGCAGCCAGTAGTACAGGTGTGGCTGGTATCAATAAGCTCTAAAAACAAGTAGATAAGGGAACGTATTTACATTGAAAAGCACTGATTTCCCGTAGGTGTTTTTTTCAGAATTTGAACAAATTACGTGAGCGTGGTTTTTCATTTTAAGAAGCTTCAACACTGCGCACGAAAGACAGCGAGTTTCATTTCCAAAAAAATTTTTTCACAGTGAGCGGTGGTTTTTCATTTTGAGAAGCTTCAGCACAGCGCAAGATGGACAAGCGAATTTCATTTCGTAAAAAAATTTTGACAGTGAGCGGTGTGTATAGGCGTAACTTCATTTCATATTCACCTCCTTACCCCTTTCGTACTGCAGGCTCATTCTGAAACTTCTCTACACACATGGGTTCGGGGAAATCAAAAGTCAGTAGGAGTAGTACGGAACGGAGGGATCATTTAGTATTCATTAGACAAATCCTACCTTTTTATCTCTTGTATCTTTCAAGAACTTGTGTCCTTCCGGCCCTAAATCGATGAGAGTGGCGAACTTCATTTGAGGAATCGTGTAATCTTTGAGATAATTCATCACTCTTAACTGATTAGCTAAAATCGGAAAAGAATTATAAGCTCTAACTAGAAAAGATACCCAGAGCTTTCCACCATTTGTCAGAATAGTTCTTTCCTTGACCGAACATGGTCTCGAATATGCCTTTGGCTCTGTATTCTTCCTTGGCCTTAATCAATTGCTTAATCCAGAATTCAAATCATGAACATACCACTCCTCTCAGAAAATCAACAGGTTTAGCGATGCCTGTCTTACAATCGTACACCCCAGATATTACCTTGAACAACAGATAGGCTTCATTTCCAACTTCCATTTTCGCAGAAGCCGAGTCCTGATAAAACTTATTGTCTGCGAATATCTCTATTCCATCTTACTTGATCCAACATGACCATTCTGTCACAATTGTCACAACAGTCAGGCATGGGAGTGTTAGTTTTCTCAAATGTTTCATCAAAATGAGACAAAAGCACTCTGAAAACACAATGACTGTCTAGGAATCTATGTGAAGCGCTTACTGTCGTCTGCATTCGCCTGTGTAGAAGAAGTTCTCCATTTTCTTCAGCATCTCCGCGCAATGAGATTTGTAAGGTTCTTGAGTGTCTTGGAAGAATCGCCTGAAAATGATATTGAGCATTTCTCATATTTTCACCTCACCTATTGAGAACTATATCTTTGCCTGCCCACAAACAAATACATTTACTAGGATAACCATCTCTACCAGCTCTTCCGATTTCCTGATAGTATGATTCAATGTTTTTTGGAGCTGAAGCAAAAGCATCCCTGCTTCACAGAACGGAACTATCTACCTCCAACATGGATTACTAGACGGACATCCGGTTTGTCGATGCCCATACCGAAAGCTACTGTTGCTACTATCGTTGTGCACTTATCGTGAAGAAAGTCAAGATGAGCTTTTGCTCGAACTTTATCCGAAAGCTTGGCATGATACATCGTACACTTCACTCCGCTTTCTGAATCAAGGAAGTTTAAAAACAGAAGGAACTTTCTGACAAACGTCGCAAGTAGTCATGGACTTTCTCCACATCCTTAACTGTAGGGCAATAGATAATCGTGCATCCACCAAAGTGCTTGCCATCCTGATCATCTACTTTCAATAACCTTTTGATATCATCTTCCATTGAATTCAGCTGTCGGCAGGAGATATGTAAATTCTTCCTAATAGAGGTTGGTAGTAGAAATGCGAGAGCAGTATGAATTACCTATCGAACCCAGTGCAAGTTATTACAGGATTTCTTAACTCCAAATTTTTTGCTATATCTTTCTGAACATTTGGTGTTGCCGTGGCTGTAACCGCCAGGAACGGAACATCCCTATGAAGACACATTTGAATAGAAATTACTTTCGCATATCAACTCCAAGGTGTCTCTTATTCTTGCCAAATTCCTGTAAGACGATCTAAAATCATGTCCCCATTGTGACACACAATGAGCTTCGTCAACAGCTATCATCCCAACATCTGAGAAAATTCAAATAAATCATTCATATCTTCTATGGTCCCTCACAATCTTTTATTTCTTTTAGTAGATTCCCACCAGAAGTTGCGTATTCTGGGGTCAAATAGAGGAACCTGCAATGATGTGATTGCCAAAGGGGGTAGTTACAACTTTAACTGTACAATAACTGTTTGTTGAAGATTCTATCCATTGTATATTTTTTTTCCGATGGCGAACTTGTTCCACAAATCAGGTCAGCAGCTATATTGTTGAGTCTTAAGACATTTATAAAGAGCCCTTTGTCGACCAAATCCTACCGCAACTGCCCTAGTTGGTCATTCATTAAGGAGATTAAAGGCGATATGACGATGGTTAACTTGCCAGTGAGAAGTGACGGCATCTGGTATGTTATACTCTTTCCGTAACCTGCAGAGAAATTTTCCTTTCGTCATATTGACCTGAGAGCAACCTGTTGACATAATTACCAATTGATCTCTTCCCATCAATGAATTCCTAACAATATCCCACTGTTTAGGACGGAAAGTCCCATGACCAAATTTATTCTGATGTTTCATTTGTTGAGCACTAAATTTCCAACTCCTTCTCAAACCTTGAGCATTTTCAAAACATGAGCTGGTGGACTAGGAGATGACCAGGGGCTCTTATCTGATGGGCTAGGAGTGACAGGTGAAACTTCATTCACTTCATCATCGGAGAAAGACGAAGCTCTCGATCTACGAGATGTGTTTATCTCCACAGCCCCATCGAAGCCAACAGGAGGAGGTGTGGGAGGAAGATTTTCACAATCTGGATCTGAATCTAGATTACCTGACTTCTAGCTGAGTAAAACATTAATGGTCACTACCTTCGCACTTAGATGAGTCATGTGTTAATGGTGGAGGTGTTGGAGGAATGTCGTCAGTAGTATTAGCCAAATCTAGGATTTTCAAATGTAAAGCCTTTTCCTCGAACAAGATTAGAACCTTCAGAGTGACCGGAAACTTCTAAAACCACTTCGTCGTCGAAGGAATCATACCCGTCCATCTTTAACAGAACACATTAAATTCGCAACCAAACTCAATCATATCCAATAAGAACCCGATAGCGAGATAGAGAGACTCACGCAAATATTAAATATTTAATAAATCTAACAAGGAAATGTACAAAACAATGAAAATCTACGAGTAGGCTTAGCAACAACTATACAACAACCTGTTGACCGAGTTAAGCAATTGTATAAACCTTGGGTTTTACTAAATATCTGAATGAGCGTTTGGCTAGAGAACCGCGAGAGAACTTGTGCCTGAAAAGCATTTTTTGGAATTGGAGAAGCTGATAAGCTCTGATACCTTAATCTCTTCGTGTAACTCTTTCCTACAACACTCTCTACTTCTTCCTTGTACTTCATTGCTACTTCCACGACGTTTATTGGATCCACTGAGGCGTCTTGTTGGACAGAGAGATCAGTACTGTAATTTCATAATACAATAACTGTTTCGTAATCAATCAAACCTTTTGGCGCATTTATCGCTCAGACGATAATTCTCTTTTTTGAAATCATTCAATGTAATGGCACTTATCTTATCACCAAAGAAGAAAACTCTGCAAAAGATAAAGGACATGTTAATGGGAGTTAGGAAAATAAAAACCTGTCAGATGTCAAACCCCACAACCGAAGAAGGCCATTACGAGCAGCCATATCAACAGCGACTTCTAATGTTTCTCCAGCACCTTAAAGAAATTCCTCAATCCCTCTAAGCTACTCGATCTTACTTTCACCGACAATATCCAGCTTGTCTTTGAATATTCCGACAACATACACAGGGTGTGCTGAGTTAACTCCTGCTGATCTGAGAATCCTTGGTTCAACCTCAAAAACAAGAATGTTAACTTTCAAGTTTCTCCGATTTCCCTCACTTCCGATACTCCATCGATTTTCAATAAATCTGTCAAGACAGCTAGAGGATCATTCAAAGGGAAAACATCGACGAAATCAACATCGAGCAGTTGTGGAACAACGAAGTTAAAAACTAATTGTTGAACTTTGTCCTCTGCCAAGGCACCGCAAAGTGCTTGGAAAGAAGTTGCTATAGATGATACAGATGGAGGATTTTCAGCGGTTCTGATGAGAACGTCAATTCCTTAAAAGATCGAAGAAAGATCATATAATTCGAAAACAAATTTACCCAAGTGACGTGCAATGTCAGCCAATGTTTCGTCATTTGTTAGTTGAAGGGATATGGCCTGGATTAGCTCTTCAGGAGCTTCAGATAATTGAGCACGGAGATAACAACTTAATATTCTACTGATACTAGCGATTCCTGACAGAAAATTAAAAAGTGAAAAGAATGATATAGGCTCTTACCCTTGGCTGATAAGTCGAGATTATGTTCTAAGCTATGAGATTCGTCGTGATTGGGAGATACTGCATCTGATTCAACATCCCTTCGTGAGGCGAACGATTCAGTTGTTAAAGCCTAAATACAGTTAAGATTGAATAAAGGATTACAGGCTTGGATCAGACCTGTACGAGAAGATCAACTGGAATCTCAGGAACACCTAATCTGTGGCCGAAAGCGTATAGCTCTGAGGAGTAGTTCCTGTAAGAAGTCTTATTAGAAAAGCCCTAATAAGCTAACGAGTTGAAAATTTTTGATTTTTGGGTGTGCAAGTAACCAATGTTTACAACTATAAAAGTATCTTTATCGAGAATAATAGAAAATCTGAGGGAAAAAATACCACATCGTGACATCCCGAGGATCGAGGACTACCTAAAGACCACGTAAAAAACAAAATGGCTTTCCTATTTGTTAAGAGAAACATACACAAACAGTAAAATATGTAAAGCTACTCTAATAACAATCTAGGGTTGGTGTTTCACACTTAATTACAATTCTAAACTGATCTACATTCGGAAAACTCCAAATTTAGTTTCAGGAATGGGTTTTTGCAACGTGGCACTCAACGCGAGCCCAACAACTTTGCGAGTATCTTTAGGATCTATCACACCATCATCCCATAATCTGCCAGAAGCGAAGTAAGGATGACCCTCAGCTTCGAACTTCTCTTCCACTGGACGACGAAGAGCTACGTCTTGTTCCTGAAAAAGTAAAAGGTCCAGCCTTTTGTGAAATCATCATAGAGCTACCTCAGTCCACTCTTTTCCTTCTCTCTTATGCTTATCTTTTTGAACTGTTGCAAGAACATTAGCTGCTTGTTCTCCTCCCATAACGGAAATGCGGGAGTTAGGCCACATGAACAAGAAACGAGGACTATAAACATCTCATAGAAAACACTTCCGAACTAACAGTAGCTACCTGTAACCGCGTCCACACATGCCATAGTTTCCAGCTCCATATGAGCCGCCAATCAAGACGGTAATCTTAGGGACTGATGCGCAAGCAACAGCTGTTACTAATTTTGCTCCATGCTTAGCGATACCGCCAGCTTCAGCATCACGACCAACCTGAAAAAACATCTGATAAGCCAAGATCAAAGAGAAGGAGGATTACCATAAAACCGGTAATATTTTGAAGGAATAAAAGAGGAATTTTTCTTTGACAACAAAGTTCGATGAAGTGCGCTCCCTTCACAGCGGACTCCGCGAAGAGGACACCGTTATTAGCCAGAATACCCACTTTCTGACCGTAAATAGAAGCAAAACCTGGAAAATGTTGATGAAACTGATAAACTTGGAAGCTTTCCCTACCAGTAATTAAAGTATCTCCGTAACGCTCCTTGAACTCATCGAATCTAGAGCCGTCAACAATGCGAGCAATGACTTCTTTAACATCGAAGGTCTTCTTCAAGTTAGCTCCAACTATTCCATAAAGCTCCTCAGCTGGATAGAGAGGCTCATCAGCTTCAACAGACAGGTTAATTACAATCAATGACGGATTAACTACCATTAATATTGAAGGTAGCAGCACCCTGTGGTTCAGGAAATCCAGCAACAGCATTACGAGCCATAGACAATGCATGTTCGTCATTGAGAGCATAGTAATCCGTAACACCAGATTCTGAGCAATGAAGATCAGCTCCTCCGAGAGCTTCAGCTGAGATCTGGAATCGGTCGAGTAAGAATCTTTCCGCTGTATCAAGTAAATACTTCTTCTCCGGTGGCGGCTTTAACAAGAGGTGGCCCTCCAAGGAAGACAGTTCCGTTACCCTTTACAATGATAGCTTGATCGGACATAGCTGGAACATAGGCACCTCCAGCAGTACAACTTCCCATAACAACGGCAAGCTGTGGAATTCCTGATGCACTCATGGTAGCCTGCCATTTCACAAAATGAATAAATAAATCAGGTACGATAGTGTACCTGGTTATAGAAGATTCGGCCGAAGTGCTGATTGTCAGCAAAGATGTCGGCTTGACGGGGAAGATTAGCTCCACCGGAGTCAACAAGATAAATACATGGCAAACCATTCTCTCTTAAATGTTAAGCGAGGTGAATGGTAAAAAAAATGACTAACCTAGCAATTTCTTGAGCTCTCAAATGCTTCTTAACCGTAATGGGATAGTAAGTTCCTCCCTTCACTGTAGCATCGTTGGCTACGATGACGCAAAGTCGACCAGCAACTGAGCCGATACCGGTAACGATTCCACCAGCAGGAACTTCTTCTTTGCCATAGCAATTGTATCCAGCCAATTGACTAAGCTCAAGGAAAGCACTTCCAGGATCAACCAATGTGTTGATTCTCTCACGAGCCAGAAGCTTATTACGACTCTTGTGGAGCTTCACTGCCTTTTCTCCTCCTCCTTGATTAATTTTTTCAATCTTAGCTCTGAGGTCATTGACAATTTCAACCATTTGCTGATTGTTTTGACCGAATTCTTCAGAAGATGAATCTACATTCGTGCTAATGGGTTTCCATATAGTAGAATAGGGGTTAGAAGAACAATGATGGTCACGAACGCTGACGCTAAAAGATTATTGTTACGAGCAAAACTTTGCCCATTCAATGATTACTTGCACACCCAGAGACTTTTAAGAAGAAAATAGAAAATAACTTTACCAGTTAGGATATGATGATCTGTGGAGGATGGGATCAGCACCCAATAACTGGCGTCTATGATATAAGTCTTTCAGATATGTTCTTTCCCATCTAGCCCGTAAGAATCGTACTAAAGAGTTCAAATGAATTTCAATATTCAGATATATAGATATATATAGAATTGTCTCAAAAACGTTCAAAACTAACATGATTGGTGATTTGTTGATCGTGGTCCAAGTCGTTGGGCAAGACACCCAAGCATTCTCTTAACAAACCAATATCAGTAAAGCAATCTTTTTTATCATTAAAATTCAAGCTTATAAAGAAAACTAAGAATATTATTCAACTTCAGAGATAAACTTTGCTTTTATGTGAACGAGAAGTCCGTGCTCTAACGTCCTCCCCTACCGTAGCAGTTTTCGCGGCGGGGCCAATATTTTTTTTTCGACCGACCCGCGGGAAATCATAATTTTCGGACGGCGTCTTCACGCCAATCGGTTTCTCTCACGTTATTATTGTCTCATTCTCATTGGGGGTTGGTCGTTCCCTTTTTTTATTTTTAATGCTTGAGTGAGATAAACAGTTTTCGGAGATAATTTTGCTTTTATAAACATTCAATATGAATTATAATGTTTTGCTGGAGATTCCTTTGAGATGTGAGATAGACAGAGAGCGTTCGGAGAGATCTAATTGATGCATTTACATATATCATCGAAATTTGTGTTTAATTAACTCTTTTCAGTTTTTTTCACATATATTTGCTTGTTTTCAGTGTATGCAATAGAAATTTCAACTAACCCCCTTAAACACCCTTCTTCATTAGTTTAAACTTTCTCGATTTATTACGGTAAGTATGACATGCAAATCTGAAGCTCAACAAGTATCTGCGTTCCAGTAGGAAAATGTCTAGTACTTATGGAGCCAAAGGCTTGTCGTTACGTGGTAATGCTCAGAAGCTTGTTCGGCAAAATGCTAAGAGCAACCTTCATTCTGAGAATGCTTTGAAGACAACAGTGACTGCTACCGTTTCTGTAAGTTCCACCCTGATTGAAGATAACTTGAACTGGTTTTTAGACTCAGAGATCGGCTGCTATAATCACCAAGTCAACTCAACCTACTACTTTCACTGTATACCGCGACTCTCCTTCCCCAGTATGTGAACAGGAGAATAATATTATATATCAAATAGAGAAAAAAATTCGCGAAGAAAAGGTAAAAATGAATAAGCTGCTTGCAATGCTCATCTATCTATTCCTCTAGTCGAAGGAAGTATGTAACAATTCTCCGAAAGAAAAAAGAAAGCCTCTAACTGTTCTCAAAGAGAACACTTATGAATTAGAAGAAGTAAGCTATTGTTCGCTCTAGCCGACCTTATCTTATCTATCATAGGAAATTTTTACTGCATGCAACTCTGGCGCGACGTCAACAAGACAGGAACTGTCGAACTTCAACCTCAATGACGATGATAAAGCGACGCAATCTTCGTATGAAAGCGTACCCGACTTCGAAGGTGAACGAAGTGAATACGAGTCTGCTTTAAGTCAAAAGGATTCTGAAGATCTTATATTCTCAGCTCCAGAGTTTTCTCATGATATCTATTTGTGAGTTTGTTCCTTAGCCTCTCATTATATAACAACTCCTTATAGGTATATGAGAGATCGAGAAATAAAAGTCAGAGCTAAGCCTAATTTTATATCCAAGCAACCTGAGATCAGTCAGGAAATGAGATACATTCTGATTGATTGGTTGAGTGAGGTGGCCACAGAATACAGTCTTCATCAAGTAACAATTCATAAGATAATTTCTTGTACAACTTACTTTAAAGGAAACTTTACATTTGGCTTCATCACTTGTTGATCGAACATTGTCACGTTTCAAAGTAGAAAAGCAGAGACTTCAATTAGTTGGAGCAACGGCCATGATGATCGCTGCGTTAGTCAAAGTCCATTTGACGTTTTAACAAGTCCCCTGTTTAGGAAGTATGAAGAGATCTACCCTCCACAATTGAAGGACTTCGTTTACTTGACTGAAGATTGTTTTACAGGAAGACAGGTAAATTCAATACGAGGAAGGAAGTTCTTTGTAAACAAGTCTTTTTAGTTTCTTATGATGGAGCGAGCCATTCTGAATGAACTCAAGTTTGATGTGTGTGCTCCCACAGCTCAATGGTTTGGTGCGAGATTCGCAAGCATCCAAAATGCTGACAAAACTACCACGCACGCAATGCAATATCTTCTGGACCTGTCTTTATTAGATGCGACTTTCGTCTCGTTCAGACCATCATACATTGCTGCTGCTAGTCTCTGTTATGCTAACATCCTGACAGGTTAGTAACTCTTCTAGCTCTATCAATTTAATCAGGTACTATCATAGGTCGTATTCCTTGGAGTTCTAAACTCGAAGAGGCTACAGGAATTATGGCCGTCAACTTGGATAACATTTTGAATTTGCTTCATGGAATGTTCACAGAGGTTCCAAATCGTAAACATCGTTCCGTCTACCACCGTTATTGCGAAGCGGACAAGAGCGAAGTTGCTACCCTTGAACCTCCTGCGACCCTAACGATTTAGAAAGTTCTATCTCAGTTTACTCAAGCCTACTAACCAATTTGAATCTCTCAAACTTGCTCATGTGGTCTTTTGGCTGCTTGCTTGGAATACAAAGTTGCTCATGCTAATTAATCTTAATGTACAAACTTCCGCTGGTATAATTTTCTAAAACAAAACAATGAGTAACCTTCTATCCATCTAAAAGATTTTTATTTTGTTGTGCTAATTTATTACTGATTATTTCTATTTATATGAAAAGGTTTTGCTTGTAACCTTCAACTCCCAATTAATCGTCCAAGTGACATCCGATAACTAGAGCCATATATTTATGAACTTCTGATCTGCATGTACCATACTTAGTATAATCTGTTTTACGGAATTAATCCCAGCATAAATCATGTGCTCTTATTTTGAATGTACTCGATAGCTTTAATCAACGCATAAAGTGTCGCAAGAATTTCATTGTTCTAATGTACAAAACAGATATGGAATGGCAATCACAAACTTCGCTCTTCGTTAGTAGAATGTTTGAAGTAGAAACACGCACAAGAGAAATATAATATGAAAGTAACAGACTAGCCAACTAACTAATTAATAGTTTTGAGGATATCCTGGTTGTTGTGGATAAGGCTGTTGAGGATATGGTTGTTGTTGGGGATATCCAGGCTGTTGAGGGTATGGTTGAGATGGATAGTTCTGTTGTTGAGGATAGTTTTGTTGTGGATATCCATTCTGGTCAGGATACTGTTGCATAGGGTACTCTTGGGCATATTGACCTGCAAACAGCTACTAAGCAGTATTATACCTTAAACAAACCTTGTCCTTGATAACCTTCTTCGTACTTATTCTCCTCACGAGGCATAATGCAATCGAAAATAGAACGGCACATACAATAAGCTACGAGACAGCAACAACATGTTCCCAGAAGGAAGATGAACAGAATTCTAGAAAAGATTAGCTTAGAAGGATGTTGCTGAACATATTTTATTGAGAAATATGAAGCTGTATAGGCAGATTAGGTAATTTAACAGGGACATCAGTTAGTAATGATAAACACATTGAGGGAGTAGCGGCAGTGGTTCGGTATAGGAACTGAAACTTCGAAATCCCGTGCAAACTTACATCAGAGGCGGAATCCGAAATAAAAGGCTCTGAAGAGATTGAATCACGAATCACGTCACAACCACGAACAACAGTTACAGTGACACCACACGGATTTGTACAAGAAATTTTGAAAACTTACGCGACAAGTACAGCCGTTAACGACATTCCTTTTCCATCTGAGGATTGACTGCTGTTATTTGAATTTTGGGTCTGTTGTTGCACAGGAGCTGGACAACAGTCTGAGCCACAGCAAACTTCAATTCCTTTCTTACAGCCCCAGATGATAGTTTTGGGTCTGGTTCCATCTTGGAATTGAATCTGCAACGATTAAAAAAAGTAATGAAGAAAAGTACACTAAAACTATTTACATTTGATAGTGTTTGAGATCCTGCTGGTGTTGTAGCGGCAACGGTAGTAGTGGTCGATTCCTGGGTAGTAGTGGTTTCTCCTACAACAGTAACAGGGGCAGTTGTAGTGGTGGTGGTAGTAGTTGTAGTAGTGGTAGAGTTATCTTCCGTAGCAGAGATCTGAGATAACGAAGAGATGAAGTTTTAAATATGTGTTTCCATACCTGTGATTGAAGAGTAGATAATGGCATTGAGCATTGGATTGTGTTTGGATTATTCTGATAATGTCCATCCCAGTAGTATGGTCTTCCATTCATATGAATTGGATCAGAAGCGGACTTGATGATAGATTTTCCAGCTTCGAAGATCAAATGACCTGGAATAAAAATTGTATGAGCAACGAGCTGATTGAGTTAGTCTAACCTGCGATGGCTCCTACGGCAGCTCCAGCCAAAGCCTTGGTGAAGGTACCAGACGAGGATTTGGAAGGTCCATTGAAGCTAAGAATCATGTGAATAATTGAACTCAAAACGAAGAACTTACTTTCCGCCTCGTGGCTGATTAAAGTTATTGTGAGGTTGGGGATGGAAACCTCCGTTCTGTTGAGGATGGAAACCATTGTTTTGCTGTGGATGGAATCCTCCATTAGGTGGAGGATGGAAACCACCATTTTGCTGTTGAGGGTGGAATCCTGAAAAAGGAAGAAACATATGAAAAACAGAATAATAAAGGGGAAGTGTTACCTCCTTGTGGAGGAGCAGAAGGTTTGGAGTTGGAGCCTCCTCTGTTGAAGAGAGAGAACTTCTTGGCGGCAGCCGGATCGACTATTAATAACAATAAAACTAATGTGGATAAGTGTTTGAACATCTGAAATGATATATTTAGTGAAGCCTTTTTTGGGAAAGCAGAACACACAATGAATGAAGGAAAAGCAGGTAAAACTGAAAACAGACTATTATGACGTGTGTGTGTGTGTGTGCATATTTGGTGATGATGAAATGGGATGGAAAACAAGCGAGTTTCAAATGATTAATAGAACCTAAGGAATAGCTTGTTACGATAACTCATAAATAATCCTTAAATCTACAATATAGGATAAAAGAAACAAGTTTCGATAGTACAATATCTCACTTGAACTGTTTTTGAATGCTGTTGGAGAGAGAGAGAAAGAGAGGATAGAAGTGAGAGAAGGATGGGCTGAACGACGTTTCAGACGTCTTGCTTCTTCAAGACAAAAAACGATTAGTATCGATTCGTAATACGAAGTAGTGTCAAGGAGATTGATATACTTTAATGAAAAGTTATAAATAGAATTTTTCAGTTCAAACTGCGGTAATTTCAGATTCAATACTCCTCAGTGAACATATTACCAGGGTAACGGAAATTGCAAGAAATAATGGACTAATGACTAGGAAATCAGAACATACTCGAAACGTCTCTGTCCTCACCCATATATGGTTATCGTCCAGAAATCTCTGTTTAGAAAACTGTACGAGAGGCAATAAAGAGATTTTGTGTTTATGAAACGACACGAAACTACGATCTGAATATATGGAATAATATAAATCGATCTCAGGCGCTTTGACGCTGAAGGGGTCACGTCGTCATGGAATCTAGTTTTCACAATGTTGTTACAAAGGGACGGCAACTCAACACACTAAGATTATGCCTACGCTCTACAACTTCCGTATGTGCTATTGGAGGTGAGTGCATGCATTAAATGAAAGACAAATTAAAATGGAAGCTAAAATTTGGTATTGAAGATAGATTCTAATGATGTTGGCTGTTAACAAAGGAAGACACGTAAGGGATAGGTTCAAGGTCGGCTGCACAGAGTATAGAACAACGAAATTAGTCGATACCGACAGGCCTCCTGCCTAGAGGATAGTACAAAAACGAGTTTGCCTAAAGAGGCTTTTACTACATGTTGGTTCTTTGTCCTCGTGCAGCACCCACCTCGAAAGTGGCTGATTGCTGAATTAACAAAGTTTAAGACAGCGAGAAGTGAGCAAATGCTTGTAGAAGGTTCCCGCCCACCTCGTGAAGACGTGAGAATAAGAGAAATGAAACTTCCTTTTCAGGCAATTGATAACCCATTTTTTATTTTCTTGAATTGGCAATGACGATGACTCATAACGCGTCTTCGAATTAAAATATCTCAAGTGCATAAACGGGAAATAGTTTTCACTGACTTTCCTGTTTCTCATCAGACTATTATTTCTCTTTGATTAAGACCAAAAGCCACGCAAGATTGAATCATAGACAATAAGTGAATTTGGCAATAGCTTATTTACTTTCTAATAAGGTCTTGTCCCCAATCTTGAGTTACCGACCAACTAACACCTGACCAGCATGACGTCATATACTTTGTGTGTTGGGCAAACTGAGGTCATTCGTATATATGGACAGAAAGCAAGAATAGGCATAAGCAACAAACTTCTTCTATTCAACTTGGGGATTCAAAATGTTTTCAAATTGCATACGCGAAATTTACACGTGTATGTGCGGAACAGAAAAGAACTTGAATAGATTATTGAAACCGTAATGTTCCCTAAGGATGACGAAAAAAATCAATAAAAACAGCATGGCTCATCTTGAACATGTTTTCGAAGTACGCAACAATAATCGATCGATTTACTGTATTACTGTTGTGTGCGTGGGTTTTTCATAGACGTCATTTGAACTTGTGTTGACGTGTAGAACGGTTGGTCTTGTTCCTTTCTTCATCTCACTCTCTCTCTCTCTCTATCTCTATCTCTTTCTCTCTCTATCTCTCTCTCTCTCTCTCTTAATAACATTGTTAAACGAACATGTTAACGTTTATTTAATGAAAAGAAATACTCATTTTTAACCGAAGAATATATAATAAGGGAAGACTGCAAGATGCTTGGGCATTTGATGGTAAAGGGCGATTTCGTAAGAGGCAATTTATAAAGAAAGGATAATAAATATATATATTGAAAGTCGGATGGAACTGTCGGGAATCCATCCATCAGATATGGGCAAGGTGTGGTCCAGGCACACAGTGCTAACATCAATTATGATATCACACATTCTCCATAGGATATTGAATTGACATCAATTCATATACACATGGTTGAAAAGAGTTTTGGACCAAATGAATTAACACTGTGTACCTCGCCAAATTTCAATCTGACGGTTGTTCCTTGACAAGCGGCTGCAGTGTGTATGTATATGTGTGTGAGTTTGTTTTTTTTCTTTTTTTCTCCTAAAATAATAATGTTGTTGAGTGATGCATCGATGTTTTACCTTTTTTGGTTAACAATAGACCATATTCATAATGGATCTTTCGAGTCTATGTCATTTCTGGAATATATATGTTTGAAGAGTTGAAAACATTGTACGTTGGTAAAGAATTCGTATAAGATGTACAATAGAAGGACGTGGGTAGTAAGCACAGAAATTAAAAAAAAATTAAATAGTTTAGACAATCATAGTTGTCAATCATTCGGAAGTACATTTCGAACGTCCTATACCTATTTGTTAAAGATTGGCATCTTCATTCTCATCAGTGGTAGGATCTTTTACATCATTTAGGCGAAATCATAATTGCTGCCTGCTTTGAACCTCAGAAGGTCAGTATTTAAACGAAAATAGAAGTGACATGATGATGGCAAGCTAGAAACTAGCCATACGAGGTTATAATACTCAGGGAACTGTGTGAGATATTTCATTTTCTAAAAAAAAAAGCAGCGAAGTACATAAAATAAACTTGACTATGTTGTGGAAGTGAAACGTATTGGCGAAAGAACTGCTAAGAAGGAGCACCGTCGCGGCTAAACGTGAAGGTACAAGGAAGAGACTGTCTTGTATTTGTTCTATCCGTCATTTGACTCGCATCCGCATACTACACTCTTAGCATTACCCTCTCTTTTTGTAGAATTCATTTCTTTCAATCTCACTCTCTCTTCAAACTACATTTTCCTCATTCGACATTTGTCTCAAATTCTATCTTTGACTCTAAATATTGGCCAGTGCTCTTCCTCTTCGGTTCGTCTTCGACCTCATCCAAGAGCAAAAGAAATAGTGGGAAGCTTGGGTAGAACTGAAGAAGTGGAGAAGATCAGCCTTCCATCCTCAATGATCACTTATAATGGATAACTTGCCGTTCTAGGAAAAAAACACTACTAAACGAAAATCTTTATATATCAACTTGAAGAATATTCATTAAACAATTGAATGTTTCTTCTCACATTCTCAATATATTCTACGAAATCATCTGTTTTTTGAGATTTTTCAACAACTAAATATCTTTGGTCCAATTTTGGTTTCTCTAACTTAATAAAACTTTCTAAACTACTCTCAAAAATGTACAAAAAATTAGAATTTTTCAAGAAATCCAGTGAAATCCTCATCCTTTCATTGAAAGACCCTAGGAGATTACTGGAACGACGAAAACATAAAATATAATTGAATCTTTATGACTTACTTGAAGTATTCAGCCATTCGGACGCTAAAGCTGATAAGGGAGAGGAAGGAAAATACTCACGAGAATTACAAATAAACTTACCGCTCATTCGATCTCCAGCGCCATAATGAGTTTTTATAAAAAATTTGGTGATCATGGGTCCATCTTCAATCAAACACATTTTTACTCACCCCAGTAATTTCTTCAAGCTCCGAAATAGATTGCAGAGGATGTAAAGAATCACTCAGCTGCTCTCCACGGAATCCTATGACTTGATATGCCATTGGCACATGTGTAAGATCTTCTATAAGTTTCAATAAATCTTCCAGGGTTATCTGAAAGTATAAGAGATATTGTTATAATGAAGTATTAAGTGAAACCTGATTATCTATTTCGGCATTGTATCGATGAACTTCTACTTCTTCCCCAATCAACCTGATAAAGATCAACATAGTTTAAAACTTAGATTCGTGAATAGGTACTCTGAAGAAGTAAAAGGATGAACAATTAGAGATAAAGAAGTATTTTTCGATATTAATATCAAATTTATCAATAATTTTGTTTCTTTTTTTGCGTATCAACAATCACTCCAAAATCGTGAACAAAATGCTGTGCCTCTACAGCATCTTGATGTTGGAGGGCCATCACTCGGCTAACGATTCATCGTTGCTCTTCATCATCGATAGGCCAATGGCGAGTGTAGATGACCTGTATCCAAGCATCCCAATGGCTAATAATTGTTTGATGAATTCTATATAACTTGTGTGTAGTTAGTGTTTTGCTCTAGGATGTCACCCACTCAATCTGTTTTTTTTTCAGTATGAATATGGTTATGATCATTATCCGATTGGTCGGTGAGGAAAATGATAGAATTATCCATGGGGTTAAGCTAAGTAGAAAGGTATTACTTAATATTTTTTTATAATGACAACTCTTATGTTTTCAGATTTCACATTCGGATTTGAGAGATATGGTGAAGATAGTTACAGATATCCCTGCCCATATGCAGCTATTAGAGTTCAAGGGAGAACAGTTAAGCAGTTCTGACAATGTGTTCACAAATTTCTCAGATTCGGATGAACTCGTAGTAGTAAGTTGAATTCTTAGAAAAGAAAAAAGAATGTCAACGGTCCGTTTTTGCCTTATACACTACCAACCCCCTTCCCCATCACGTTCCATCCTTGGGATTTTGGGTGTGTTTTATGAATTACTTTTGAATGTTAAATTATCAACCTGAGTTCTAGTGGATGGAATCAAGATTAT